AATCCACTTAACTAAAGCCAACCTTATGGCTGAGATACGTAGACGACAATTTCATATCCTGCCTTTACACTCTGCCAAGAAGAGGTCCAGCTAATACTAGACCATTTGAATTCAATAAGATCATCGACAGAGTTTCCAATGGAGAGAGAAAAAAAAACAGTTCGTATTCCTGAAGGTACCAATATCTCGAAGTGGTCATGGGCTGAAGACATACGTATAACGTAAACCAACATTCACCGGGCAATAACTCCACTTCAGTTTCCACCACTCATACAGGGTAAAGAATTGTGCCGTCCCTGCTTACAAAATCAGGCAAAAGTCATAAGTGGCGAGCCAGAGACCAATGAACAAGAAATGGTCAATATAAGCAGTACCCTACAACGTAACAACTACCCTTGGTGCATGAGAGCAGTTCCGATAAACTGGGATAGAAGGGTGCAAGAGGATAACAACACTCAGAAAAAAAGGCTCCGGTCTGCGTACTCTATCTGAAGGGATGATCGGAAAAAATACAAAAGATCTGTGGTCCATATAACATCAGGACACACTTCAAAAGTGGCTCAACACTTCGCAGATACCTTTCGAGTAAGAACCCCTCACTTGCTTAGAAGTGAAAATGACTAAGAACTGTATATACGCCATCCCATGTAGCTATGAAAAGAAATATGATAGAGAAAGGTGCTGGTTACTGCAGAATACCGTAACAGGGCTAGCTGACCACATATGAAGGAAACACTGAGATCACCGCCCCACTGTGGAATGAGGCTGAATTAATAGACATAAAATATCAGTAGAAAATACGAAAACTTAAGGAATAAGTAATAATGCAAGGCGATGAAAATCTAGTAAGCCGGATAGTTATGGACATGAATAAAATATGGGAACCAGTACCAGGGATTGCTAGAGAAAAACAATAATACCAACAAAATTGCAATATGAGATCTGGTAAAATGTCAATAATGTAAACAATTACACCTCATCTCAGAAATATAGATGGTATTTATCAATTCACCCACAGGAATTGAATGTGGCACAAGGCCTTTTTAATGTGGGTATGTCTGAGCCCGTAGGCCCAGCCAAAAATAAAACCCATCTAAACCCGTCCAAGCGGGCTAGTTCCGTCAACCTCCCCGAACGAAACCCCACCCTTCGGCGGAGCTTCGTCCGGGTTCCTCTCTGCAAGCAAAGAGTTCGACAGACACCCGACCCGGCAGCTCACAAAGCGCAGATACTACACTTTGATCCTAGCCACCGGGCCGAGCGGGTATCTCAGAAATATAGATGGTATTTATCAATTCACCCACAGGAATTGAATGCGGCACAAGGCCTTTTTAATGTGGGTATGTCCGAGCCCGTAGGCCCAGCCAAAAATAAAACCCATCTAAACCCGTCCAAGCGGGCTAGTTCCGTCAACCTCCCCCAACGAAACCCTACCCTTCGGCGGAGCTTCGTCCGGGTTCCTCTCTGCAAGCAAAGAGTTCGACAGACACCCGACCCGGCAGCTCACAAAGCGCAGATACTACACTTTGATCCTAGCCACCGGGCCGAGCGGGTATCTCAGAAATATAGATGGTATTTATCAATTCACCCACAGGAATTGAATGTGGCACAAGGCCTTTTTAATGTCTCAGAAATATAGATAGCTAGATAGATAGCTAGATTAATTATGAATAGACTGAGATAGATATGACTGAGTGTGTTTACAAGTTATTTTATAACAGGCTCTAGAAATTCGTAAATAGAAAACATAATATAATTTTATAGTGTTACGCGACATGAGTTTAACTTTAATATTCTTCTTTACGTTTCAGACACATTAAGACAGCCGTCAATATGGCACATGAAATGAATTGCACAATCTTCTGGTATCACACCCCCCCGTCCACCAAAGCAGTTCGGAGTGAGAAATCTTGAACGATATCAGGTTATTTGTATTCACTATCTGCGTCATGCTAGAAGCGACTGACCGAGAAATATCATCTTGGTCTAACAATAAGAAACGCTCTAAACAGATGTTGTATGGACAGTTGGATTAGTCAAGCACGTCTCAGATAACAACGACCACGATACTAACCTAATCGATGAAGGCCACCGGCGAAAAGCTCAATGTGTCAATGACCAGGTGTGCGAAGCGTGAGTATATTTGATACAATTATCTGAAAAGGGTAGTTGTTTTCCGACACACCTCGGAAGAATTATCTGATCCAGCAGAAGCGCTTATTGAAAAGGCACAAGGTCATCGAAATGCGAATGAACGTTTTTCATACATCACATCCATTAGTCAACTTCATCTCAGAAATGACAGATGCTGAAGAAGGCCAGAGCGTACAACGGCCGAAATGTCTCGAATATGGCAATAAAGATGAGAACAGTCCGAACAATTTAATTAATGCAAATAGTTACAATATCTCATTTCAGAAATATAGACAGATGCTGAAGAAGGCCAGAGCGTATAACAGCCGAAACGTTGTGAATATGACAATAAAGATGTGGAGAACAGTCCGAACACTGTAAGTAATGCAAATAGTTAAAATACCTCATCTCAGAAATATAGGGACATGCTGAAGAAGGTCAGGGCGTACAACAGCCGAAATGTCGTGAATATGACAATAAAGATGAGAATAGTCTGAATAATGTAAATAATGTAAATACTTACAATACCTCAAATATAGACAAACGTAGAGAAGTATTTTAGAAGAATTTTATTTGCTAGATTCCTCCACAATTTTTGTACAGACATCTGTCATACTGATTTTTTTTTATTATTGCTTTTCACGAAAAGTATATTTTTAGTCACTTGGCTATATCTTTATCTTTTTGCTAATTATTCATATTATATACATTGGGATTATTGTCATTGTCTTTGCTGTTATTATCAGGACGTTTAGGCCGTTGTGCCCTCCCGTCTTCATCAGGTATATATCGATCCGGGTAACCTATAGGTAAATAAGAACTAGACAAGATATCTCTAGACATGGCCAGTGGAACGATAACAGTCTAGCCCCGTAAATTAAATAAAGGTTTCAGTTCAGAATTTGCAGTAGGTTAAATAAAGTAATACTTCATATATATTTTCCCAGAAGCAACAATTTAAAAAGTACCATCAGTTTACAACCATTGGGTAAGCGCTTTTTATTTCATAGGTTGACAGTTGTGTACAGCCACCCGAAACGTGACTTCTTACAAGTATCTCTATCAGAACTGTTTGAAACATTTACCCTCTCTCTCACTATTCACCGACCTGGGTATGAAGATAAACTACATCCGCGTCCAGGGTAAGACGATAAACTACGTCCAACAGCAAGGCCTCTGACCAGGAGGTTTTGAGAAGCGTGGAATCACCTCTTAATTGCTGGTGTTCCCAGGTCCACCCTGATCAGGGGTGGTAGCACCTGCTAGGATTCCAGCTATGGACAAATAGTTAACATTCATCCATTTGAATAAAGAAAACAAGTGACCAAATGTTACATTTAATTACAGATTCAATCAACAAAGTATTTTCCCTGATTATCTATGACTTCCTTCCATCTATTAACAAGCTTACTAATTCCATTACTGTAAAATTCTTTTGGCTTTGATTCGAAGAACTCACAAATGTCAGTTTTAACATCTTCCTCTTTTACAAAAGCTGTTCCTTCCGAATGATTCTGTAAGCTACGAAACAAATGGTAGTCTGAAGGATCAAAATCGGGAGAATAAGCTGGTTGAGGAATTTTCCCCCAACCAAGTTCTTCGATCTTTTTTAACGTGATTCTTGCTGTGTGGGGTCGCGCATTGTCCTGATGAATCATCACCCCTTTTCGATTCACTAGTGCAGGTCTTTTTTTTCCTCATAGCTTAGTTCAAACGCTCTAATTGCTGACAGTATATTTGAGCATTAATTGTTGCATTAGGTGGTAAGAATTCAAAGTGGATTATTCCTTGGCGATCCCACCAGATTGAAAAAGAACCTTTTGCCCATGAAGTTCCCTTCTCAGCTGTGGCTAGGGTCCTTCCCTTTTACCAAGCCACTGTCTACGACGCTTAACATTTCCATAAAAGATCCATTTTTCGTCGCCAGTCACAAGTCTATCCAAAAAAAGTGGGCCAGAATGGAGAGAAGAGCAGATGTCAACTCGGGATTTGAGGTTGTTTTCAGACAATTCATGAGGCACCCATTTTCCAAGTTTAGGAACTTTTCCAAGTTTTTGAAGATTACAATGAACAGTTGTATGGTTTGAAGTGAGAACCACTGCCAATTCCTCAACCGATAAAGCAGGATTTTCTTCAAATGTGCTTCAAGAAGCTTTTCATCAAACTCAACCTGACGTCCGGTTCGATCTTCATCTTCAAGTGTGAAATCTCCACCTCTGAATTTTGCAAACCATCTTCTGCAAGTTCTTTCATTCACACATTCCTCTCTATAAACTGAGTGAATGTTTCTAGCCGCTTCGGCTGCTGAGTTTCCTTTCTTGAACTCATAAATCATTATGTGCCTCAAATGATTCTTGGCTACTTTCATGTAAGCAGTGTTTTAATCAAACAAGATTTAATTTTATTGTTCTCTGAAATCAAATTTGATCAGTTTAAATGCATCTAAACATAAAAATAATGTTCAGCTCCATTAGATATTATAAAATACTCTTTAAATTTCGTTCATTTTAACAAAAAGTTAAAATTCAGACAGAACTTATGGTATGACCTGATATATGCATCAAGGCTAAACACTATGTTTTCATAGAATTTATTCATTTTCTAAGGCTTGTCAAACCTTTGCAGGTTATTTAAAGCCAGAATATATTTTTTAGATTGTGATAATTTTTATTGTTGGAGATAATAATGTTTAAATGGTACAATTTTTACTAATTAACCCCTAGGTAAGGGGAGAACTGAGGTGGTTTCATACCTTTCCGAAAGGTATTTACGCGTAAGTGAATATGACGAACACAATGTGAATTCGAACTCGGCACCCCGATTAACAATTCTTAACCATTATCCATTACACCAACCTTAAAATCAAACTTACAGCACTTGGTATTCCGAAATGGTTACCCAGCTGACTACGGACCAAGTTCGACGTTGCTTAACTTCGGCGATAGTACGGGAACCGATGTTTTAACGTGATGTGGCCGTAAGTCCAAAACACTAAGTTATTGGCGGGAATTCTATAAATAAAATTTAATTTTGACGCCGTCGGATGACATAAAATTGAAAGAATTACTTTTGGAAACCAAACTTGTAAACATAATTTTGATAGAAATTTATATGACAAATAAAGATAGCAATATTTTTATAAGATTTATGGAAGCTGAAATAACTCATGTTAAAAAATTAATTCCACCGCATATTCTTTCGTTAAAGCTGCTACTAATCGCTGATAAGTACCTATTTTTATTTTTCAAATAATTTGTCTTGACTGTTTCATAATCTAATGAAAAGACTGTTTTTAATTTTCATCGACACTTTAAATTTATTCCAATTTTTTTGTTTTTTGTAATGAGCTTATACACATGCTGAGAGCGAGAGATAGCGAGAGTTCATCTCAGTACAAAAATGTTCCTAATTGAAGTTTGATCAAAATACAATTTTCTGGAATTTTAATAAATTATTTTCGGCAATTTTTTTTTATCAATTTCTTTTTATTAAAATTTAATTACTGACTTAATTAGGCAAAAATCGAATCTTGAGCAAGGTAAATGTTTTTTCCTGGTTGGAGGGGTTTTGTTCATTTCAATCGGTTAACCTTCTTCAACTGACCTCTGTGAATGTTCCTGTTATTGAAATCTCCAAGAATATAACTAAAGACTAATATTATTCATATTCACCATCCCATACGTCCAAAATATTCCAGCGGCATGATATCCCAAAATAATTTCTCTTCACGTATCGTGATAAAATATATCATCTGCTTGAAGCAAAACGCTCAAGGCAATCGATTCTTACTATTCACCGCTTGCTTTTTATGACCATTTAGCTTACAGGCATTTATTTCCAGTATGGAACTGGAATATGGTTGTCAAATTTCTATGGAACTTTTCGGTGACTTCTTATATGTTTGTATTTGTGATGTGTTGTGTGACATCAAAATGCTGAAAGTATTATGGATTTCCTTAATGTAGAATCGTCTGATGGGATGCACCTCATTCGTCGATTATCTGGAATGATTGTGTAGCGCTGACAATAAAGCATCTCGGACGAAAACGCTGGGAATGATAATTGGCAATTTTGTTTTCTACTTGAATTGAAATGCAAACAAAACATTAAAAAATGTATTGCAGTTCTTATTTCATTCGTAGAAAAAAACAGCAAAACCATTCTTTTAAAAGACTACTAGTTGCTCGGTCGGAAGATCGTAGTCTTAGGAAGATAATCTATTTTTAAACTTTGGCTGTTGGATAAAGGAGGATTATCCAAGATTAAGAATGAAGAAATAAATGTCCGAAATAATAAGCAGCAAATCGGGTTGTTGGAAATAGAAATGATTTAAAGAAATATATATTTGACAGGGTCATTTGACGCTGATAGGAGCCCCTTGAGGAGGGGTCTTTTCAGTGGCCCGTGAATTGTCTAATCAGCAGCTAGCGAGAAGGCAAGTTTTTCTTACTTAAAAAATAAGCCCCCCCCCTTTCAAGAATTCTTCAGTGCGATTTTTGGTAGTGAGCAAATGAAGGGGAGAGATGTTTTCTCACTCACTGTAACCTTTATGTTGCTGACAATGTGTCGGCAATATGTCACAATTGAAGACAATAAAATTAGCAGATTTTTTTTTAAGCGTTTCACCCCAAGCAAGGCGGGAAGCCACTTGGACTCAAGGGGTTACAGAAGATTTGGAGCAAGATCAGATAAGAGTGATAGAGGAAAGAATGATAAGAAGGATAGTGGATAGACCAAGGCAACTCTAGATGTCGACTGACATTACATTTGAATAGTTGAAGATTATAGATCTCAGGGAAACTGGAATAGGGAAGGGAGTTCCACAGGCGAGAGATGCGAGATATGAAACTATTGGAGTAGAAGAGACGGCTACATTTAATAGTTTCGACAGTGAAAGGGTGCGAGCTGGATGCCAGCCTCGTAGGGCGCTTGAATCCATGAAGTCTGGGAACCAGCGAATGCAGCTCCGAGGAGCAATTACCATGAAGGTATTTGTAAAAAAAGACAGAAGGAGGCGACGGTGCGTCTGTGAGAGAACGACTCTAGACAAGATGCCAGAACAGGGCCAATTATATTGCATATCCGCCTCTGTATCTTATCAAGAACACCGAGACAAACAGAAGGGGCACCAGACCATATGTTGATTTGTAGATCTGAAGGATCGATTCCGGGGAGAAAAATTTCCTGGCGCGGCACAGGGAGCCAACTTTCCTTGTGGTGGACGAAGCAATTGACTCAATGTATTTGTTCCATCTCAGGTCAGCAGTCAACGTGAGACCGACCAGCCGCAGAGAGTTGCTCTTGAGAAGTTGAGCGTCAAACATTCTAATGGAGGGCAGGGAATGATCTCTATACAAAAGACATCGCTTTTTGCTATTTATTATAGAAGAAAAAAACGTCCGCTTGGTGAAAATATGTCATTAGATTTTCAACGAGTAATCGAGAAACTCTCACTCTGGGGTAGTATCCTGAAGATAGCCGCTACGACCAAACGCGAAAGTTCGAGCGTAGTTCGCCAAACACCAGTTCGTACTTAATAAATGACAATGCAATTAACAGCATGAAAAATATCTTAATTATATAGTATGATCAATATGATTCCAGTTACAATGTATAACTTAAATCCCACTGTAAGCAACTTCCTACTATCCAAACAGTATTTCGGCATTCTTTAAAATAATTTAATCAAATTCAATCCCGATAAGATTACGCCCAGATTTCTCTCTGACAATTTTCTTGGGCTTTTGCTTGTCGTTTACGTTTAATTTCCGAGTTCCATGAGCTTTTTTTTTCTATAAATCCAAGTGTGATCTAACTCCACCAAATACATCTGTCCACAACTGACCCTTTTTTGACAGCGTTTCCGCTGTTTTGAAGCAACAAAGACACGAGTAAGATTACCCAAGAGACAAAGTAGAGATGACATATACACGGGGTCTCAAAACAGGTATACGCATTTTCAAGTTTTCTCAACAAATAATTCAAGCAACTAGAACCACATCTGTCTAATTTAAATAATGCACATGATGACTGTATATATTATAAATGCATACAGACTGTTCTTCTCATCTTTATCGCCAGACTCATTACTTTTCGGTCGTTGTACGCTCTGGCCTTCTTCAAATGATTGGAATTTCGAACTGAATCCTTTATTACGTCCACCGGGGTATAATGTTCTCATTCAACGTGCCGTGCCTCTTCCGGGTGTTACAGTTACCTCCCTTTAAGGCAACTCTTCTAAATTTATGATCACCTCTGCAGTAGCCAGGTATTGATATCAAGTCAGTGTATCCAAACAAAGCTTTTATCCACTGGGTCATATGTCCTGGAGGAAATCAGTGTCTAAATTTTTTGGACTTGTAAAGTTAATGCCCCAACAAGCATTATTTTTACCAGAGCTCATATTGCAATTTTGTTGTAATTATTGCTTTTCTCTAGCACTCCGTATTACTGGTTCCCATATTGTGCTCATTTCTATGCTTGGCCGGATTAGGAGATTTGTGTGGCCTAGCATATGTGCTGATTCCTGAAGAAGGCCGGAGCGTACAATGGCCGAAACGTAGAGAATTTGATAATAAATATGAGATCAACATTCTGAACAATGTAAATAATGTAAATAATTACAATACCTCATCTCAAAAATAAAGGCAATTCTTCAGATTTTTTTCATTGAATGTTTTCAAATTGATGTCCGTTATGATCTAGACATTGCTAACAACCCGACACAGTGGACTCACAAGCAGCAGTCAACATTTCGATAGGTTCCTTGGACATCGGGGAAAACTTTCCATCATCCATTTTTCTTTTACAGGGCGCGTCTAATCAGTGTACAGTCGGGTCGGTTGATTTTTCCCTTTCTTAAGAAAATGAGAATTGCACTCATTGTGCAAGGTATGGTTTGATGTGATATGTATTGACACTAAAGATTAGATTCTTATGTTTTACAAGTTTTTGAGCATTTAGTCTTAAACACCGTCTGAAGGATATACAGAAATACCTATTTTCTGAAAGTTTTTGACGCACAAATTGACTTCAAAATTTTACTTTTTCGTGTATAAATCCAAATAGCGTTTTATCTTTTGGATTAGATAGATTGAATGAAAAATATATACAAATCAGAATTCTAATTATGAATCACCATAAGTAAAATATGCATTTTTATGTATTCGATAAGGAAAACTAGGTATTTGTAAAAAATTACAAAAAATGCTACACAATGAATAACATTTGTTAGATTCTTTGATGATTTGTTAGATCACAATTAAAAAAAAAAAACAGATAAAAGTTTATATAATACCATAATACTGATGAGCACAAATTATAAATAAATGTTTTAAATTTGCATTTTTTATTGAAAGTCACAGTAAAACCCCTCCATTCCATAACATATGACATCATAATATAACTACATCGTCCAGTATAATTTCCATTTGAAGCAAATGAAGGTCTTATTTGATGTCACAATGATTTAGTAATAATGTGATTGTGCCATGATACTTGTCCGTATATAATTTGCAAAGCTATAAGTCTTTCATTGATCACTGGAAGGAAAACCAAAGCTACGATTTTGAACTTAATTTTAATCTTATCCTAAAAAAACGGTAATGATATGGAAAACAATTATCATGTCAAACCCCAATTTGGGCGCAATACCACGGTCCCAAAATCAGCTTATGTAGAGTTTCAAACTGAATTTTAAGCCGAGTGGGTGGATCTGAATGAAAATCTCTTCGATTAGAGCCTTTGAACTTCAACTCCATTTTCGCACTTGCCGTAGAATTCCAGGTAAGCTTGAATGACATTAGTAATAATAATGTGTAAATCTGAAAAGAAAGTAAATTGACTAGAGCTTATACACTGTAAAAGTTTGTATACATTTTTGTGACACCCATGCTATTCATACTTAATATTTCTAAGGGCCGTGTATATTCTGTATGTTTACTTTATTTTGATTGTAGTTTAGATTTGAAAAACAGTCGA